TGACACTATCAAGGTGTAGATAGCCCACCTAGGGGAGGATTGTCCCCAAGGACTAAACTCTCAATCTGAAAGCTTGGAAAACTTAACATATAAAAACACAAGCCCTGCTATTGTATCAGGAATACCATCTTTCTTCCATGAGTCCTCTAAGCCTAAGGCCATAACACAATTCTGTTTAATCACTTCTGGTCATCGTAGTTTAAAGGCAGCTCTGTTAAGCATTACTGACCATTCTAAGGGTGAAAGAAAATGCCAAAACCTAATCTCAACATGTCATTCGAAGAAAGAGATCTAAATCAGTACCATTCACTGCAAAGCTCTTTTAAGCTTCTGTTAGTTCTTCATGCAGGGAAGACTTTCCTACCCCTGCTGACAGCTACTACAGTGAGCAATCACAGTCAGAGATGAGAGGGTTGACTCCCAGACAAAGCAACCACAGAACATGACAATATTAGACCTGGTTTAGAAAAATTCCATGTGAGCTGTGTGCACCCCCTTTCTCCAAGGTACTCTATGGTATTCATAAATAGCTGCACATAAGAAGGACACTTCTCTGCTGTTTTTTGTGTGCTGTGTATTGCTCTAACATGCCTGGGGAACTCTGAAAGGACCAGATCATCCAGTCCGGGGCTTCCTTGCATCACCAACTCATTGAAAAAGAGCTGAAGCACAGTGGAGGATTGGGTCATACAACTATCAACTCTGACTACCGCTCAGAAAACATATCCATCTAATGTTTCAAGTTGGCAAAAATAAACATGAATGCTTACAGAATGACGGCTTTTCTACACTGTTCCAAGCAGGCTCTGCTGGTCCATTTTCAGTTTAACATGTGTTGATATCACTTGGCAATGGGAAGATTCAGCTATATATAGCTCTCAACAGTTGAGTCCCATAGTCAGATCTACCAGCAGATAAATATACTGGCTTTAACTGGCATTGCTCAGAATATATTCTCTTCCTGCTCAGCTGTTGCTGAAAAATTCTATTGATACCTTTATAAAGGCATTTTTTTCAAGGATGTTTAAGTGCCCACTATTGCAGTGATTTTCTGCCTCTATTCTGGGCAGATAACTCCGTAAAATATCTCTTGGACAAAAGTAAAATAAAGAAACAGTGTCTATGTTTCAGAAGAGAATTTTAACACATGCTTAACTTTGAAGTAATTTCAAAGCTTCACAAACTCCACCAAGTCAGAATTCTGACCTGGGGTTTACTATTTTAATCCAATTCCCTGTGAAGACACCGGGAAAAAAAATTCCATTATTTTATCACACAGTTGAAACAATCTCTTCTGAATGTTAATCATGACTAAATGGCAATCAAGACTCTAAAAAATTTATCCTATTTCCTGTAAAAACTCTGGTTTTATCACTACAAAAACACAGAGCATGAAATGAGACAAAGCATATATCATAAGGCAAATAAAGTTATTTTAACAAATTACCTCTGCCACACATTCCTCTACTATTTCTTCTGCTCTTCTTCCCTTCCTGTTTCCTCAATTTTAGAAGATTTAGAAAGATTTTCAGAATTAGGCTTCCTAATCAGGCTTCCAAGAAAAGACATAATCCAGAAAATACCAATGAATTTTCAAGAATCAGCATTTTAAGGGTCAGTGTATAAAGCTACATGGTGAAGTGGCTTGCTTTAAATATACATGTTCCACTGAAAGGAAGATCATGTTTTGTGATCCTGGAAATGAGGCTTTCACTCATGCTTAAAATCTTTTTATTACCACTGTAAGAACACTAGAGTGTACTACAAGATGTGTAGAATTAAAAAAAAGAATTACCAGTGTAAAAGTTCATTTAGAGTTATGAAATGAAACTGTAACTAAATACATTCTTTCATAGCCAATTGTTACTGCAGCAGTTAATTTTTAATGCTGAAATTACTACCTGCTTTGAAGTGATATGCCATGTGGTCACTACCAATACTAAAATATTTAACAAGAAGCATTGAAACTATACACAAAATTGTTTTATATGAACCCTTCATGATAATCCCCAGGTCTTTTTGTCCTGTTTTAAGGCCAAAGAATTTACAATCATAAAGCATGTAAAACATTCCAGACATATTTGCTTCCAGGTAAAAATTTTTAATACAGTTCTTAAGTAGTTAAACATCTATAATTAATGATGCTTTATTCCATTTTAGCTTTGTCAAAAGTTGTTACAGCAACTGTTAAATCTCATTCTATGATAATCAGAATCTTTCTAAATTCTAACTTTGTCAAGTGTATTTAATCTGTCTCAAAGCAGCAGCAGCACAGTTACTGTACCCAGTTATACTATAAACTCCAAAACCCGACATGTTTGTAGATTCCAGATCACTAATGATGCTTTATTCCATTTTAGCTTTGTCAAAAGATGCACAGTTACAGCAACTGTTAAATCTCATTCTATGATAATCAGAATCTTTCTAAATTCTAACTTTGTCAAGTGTATTTAATCTGTCTCAAAGCAGCAGCAGCACAGTTACTGTAAAAAAAAAAAAAAAAAAAAAAAAAAAAAGCGCCTTTTTGAAATGCACACCTTTAGTTCCACAAATGATGTGCCTCTTCCTTAGGGGACTGTAGATGATCAGCACAAATTGCAACTCCATCAAATCACTGAAACACCAAATCCCTAGCAATGGTTCCATAAAAAAGGAATAATGCAGATGGTTTAAAAAGAGAAGGTAAGCAAGGTAGTATCTGGTACTAAACAGGATGTCTAAAGTTTTCACACTCAAGGCATATGCAAATTTTCCTGCATGGTTGGTATTCACACATATAGCAGACAGACCAAAGAACAAAACAGTTACAATTGTTTAAAACAAAAAAACCAAACAAAAACACAAACCCCAAACCAGAATAAGCAAAAAGCCCCACAAACCAAAAAAACCCCACACCAAACCACAAAACACAACTTGGTGATATTTCATGCCTGGTAAAATCCGTAGTTTGGTATTACGGAATTGAAGAAATGTAGGACTCTAGTGAGACCAGCCATAATAACTATAATCATCATGGAATCTCCTTGACTGATCAGTAATAAGCCATTGTGCACCAAAGCTGACCAAAAGGCTAACTCCACAATCCTATTTTCAAATAACAGTCACGGCAACTATGCACTACCCTCCCTGTGCATGTCTTTAAAAGAAGTGCAGAATTTTTCAATATAGAACAGTGCAAAATATTTTTTAAAAGGTGATCTCAATGTACTGCACTAGAGATACTCTATACCACCAATTTCCCTGTCCTGTTGGTTCTGAGTCCAGACTGCCCAACTGCTTTATCAAATGAATACTACTCTTGATGCACGAGACAAGGCTTTTAGGACATCAGTAAACTGCAACTCTAAGAGGGAACTGTGGCTCCTGTTTTGGCTGGTTTCTCATGAAAAAGAAGAGATACACATATATAGGTTCATATGAGGAGTCAAAACACAAAGTTTTACCTACCTTACAAAGCTGAAAAAGTGGCTTAATTAATATCTGTGCAACAAAGGGGCCAAAAGCCAAACCACCAGATTCAACTTGGTGGTTCAACTGTACTGTGAACAGCTCTTGAAATTTATGTCTTTTATGCATTCAAGATATCTTTTAGCTATTGCAAAGCTTTGAAAAAGCATTAAAATTTCTGCTAAGGCAGGAATTCAGTAAGAACTGGCCCAAGGATCTGGACTCATCCGGTCCAAATCTAATATTGTAAATCCAATCAAGCATTGCCTCCACCTTTTCCTTTCCAAGCTGGTACCAAATTCTCATTCCTTTCTCTCATACGGTCTCAAACAGGACTTTCCCACCACAGACTGCGCTCTGTGGAGAATGCAACAAACCAGCAGCTGGCAAGTTCAAACAAAAGCAGCTACATTTCCAACAACATTAGGTTACAATGGGTACAAGGCACCTATAGCAGATTGATAAACACTGAACCAGAAGCTACAGACACAATTATATAAAAGTAAGATGCACTGACAAAGCCAGAAGATTCATTCATCTAGAATACTTTTCTGAAATGGAAAGTGATAGGTAGCTTTTACTCTTTAGAAACCCACCATTCTCTTGCAGTCACAGGCCTAGTGAAGAATAGTGTTCTGGTAGGACCTGATGTTTCTCTTCCTTTACATCCAATGGGTCACTTCTTTTAAGGTCTGTCTGAAGATCTGCTCCTCACCCGACAAGCCTCGGTCTTTTCCATATAGTCAAATATTTATTCCCCATTCCAATATGAATGTCTCACATTCAGATGGCTTTACTCTCTCCTAATGGACATCCTAATCCACATCTCCTAATGGACATGTGAGTGCTTTAGCTTTTGTGTGTACCCATGGAGCTCTCTACAGTCTGCTAACCCATGCACTAGTAGGAGAGCACCCCATGAGTACACACAGGCATACCTGAGGTGTGGGTCCCTGATTGTTGCAGCTAGTGACTATCAGATAATTCATCATTACATAGGAAATGCCAGCTTTGGCTTTGCTGTGTTTACCACCACTGTCTGGTGTACAAGATATTTTGGAGATTCATAATACTGGTATGTAAGGGAAGGGAAATACCTTACCTTAGTGAGGAAAGAGAGAGGAGAATCATCCATGTTTTTTCTACTTCTCCCTTCTACAGACAATGCCACCATATTCCAAATCGGTGGTTTAAAAATGAAATTTTTTATAACTAGTTATAAACCTGTTTGTTATCTCCAGCAAAGGACCAAAACCAAACAAACAAAAAAACCCACAAAAAAGGCAACTTTTTTAGTAGTTAATTTCTACCATCTTTTCTATAATGAAGAACAGAATAAGGTCTTTTACCAAGTTCTTTTACTCCTATATCTGCACAGCTTTAGTAATCAGCCCATGAAGTGGTAATATCCTCAGCTCTCTATGATCGCTCACCATCCCCTGCAGTTCTCTATGTATGCAGATTTCAGTGATTATAAAAATAACTGAAGTAGCAAAATGCTTGAACCAATGCTGTTTGCAAACAAAATGGAAAAGCTTTAAATAACTACTCACCAGATTCTCTTCAAACCACTCCCGTAAACACACTGCTGTGGCTCCTGGAATTTGATTTCGCAATGCTTCTTTCTCTTGGGGGTCTTCTATCATTTCCAATGCCATCTTTAGATCTTCCAGGAGATGCAAAATTTGAAATGTGCCCAAGTATACTGATGGAGCAGGTGACACAATATCATAACCACCATTAGCATACTCTGTAGCTGACTTTGTACCTAAAACAAGTAAATTCAGGAGAGAAAATAATGTTAAATAAATGTTTTGTAAGTGACAAATATGTAAGTGACAAAGTACTACACACTACAATATTCAGACTTCAGGTGCTAACTGGCACGTATCAGTATTTCAGGCTTAGAAATACTTGAGTTAGTCACCAGATAAATAACAAATACTGGAGAATTAAATGTGAGAAGTACGAATAAGCATATTTTAAAATATTTTTTACCTAGAAAACATTTGCAATGTCTGTTAAATGAAAAACGTCAAAAGATTACCAAAAATCACCTGTAATTTCCCATGGCTACCATGAGATGTCACTAACTTCTCAGCTACATAGTTACAAGTCCCCACACAGAGCAGTGTTAAGCAATGCAAGAAGGATTGATGCAGTCCTTTGACAAGAAACTTGGATGAAATAGATACTGTTACCAGAAGGAGAAAAATATGTGACCTTGAGCAGGTTAAAAACCCTCCCATAAAGAACAAAACCCCAGAAGTTAGCAATAAAAATGGCTGATGAAACGTTGCCAGCTTTCTAAATTTCAAAAAGCTCTCTAAATTTCAAAAATTATTTTCTCAAGGACAATATGCACAGCAACAAACATATCTCACTTGATGGAAGGACTATGAATAATAAAAATTCTAATGTCTCTGAATCTTTTTGTCTTAATACCCTGTGTTTCAATGAGATACACACTAAAATGAGCTATCTTTTCTCAGTTCCGAATTTCCAATCTTGATTTTATTTAAAATCCCTTTATTTCTTTAAGAACTAGTCAGATGGAAAACTTCTATTTGTTCTACTTTTTTTAAAGTTTTTATTGACAATTCATTGCCTCATGTACATACTAGATTGTACTCACATTACATCTTTATTTCTGTTCTCTTTGGTATAAGCAACCACATTTCCCCCTTTTATTTGACTTCATGGGAGTTTTTTTTAGGCTTTTGATCATTCTTATTGTACTCCTTTCAATCCTTTCATTTTGTAACATAATTTACAGGCATATGTTGAATCCATATAGCATATAGTATTCTTTAGAAGACTGTATCATTGATCTACGCAAGGGGATTATAATAATCTCCACACTATTCTTTTACTCCTGTGTTTAACATCATTTATGTCTTAGTTATGAAAGGAACAGAAATCTCCACTGAGCCTTTTAAAATTATTTGCTAAGTTTTTTTTCCTGAGCAGATGTATCTAATTTGAAACCCACATGCATAAGTAATTAAAATGTTCTTCTTCTATACACAGTGCTTTGGATTAGTTTACCTGCTAAGGTTATTTATCTATCATGATTTGGACATTACAAATTCTGGTTGAACCCAGCAGTTCATTTTACATATACCCTGATACACAACTAATACCTAAATACAACTCATGAATACACTGACACTCTAGGTCCTAGTACACTGAAATACCTTCTGCATTTAGATTAGCTTTTAACCAAAATGCTAACTGATCATTTAATCCCGATATTGTTTCCTATGTCAATAAGTTTTTGATCCAAGACAATATTTTGTCTCTCATTTTATGAACGTTTAGCTTTATCAAAGCTTTTGGGAAATTTCTAGATACAATTAACCAAATCTTCTTCAACCACTCCTTTAATGACACAAAGAATTCTGCCAGATCAATTAGCTTTGTGAAAAATTGTGTGGTTTGAATTCCAACTGTTTTCTTGTTTGAGTCTTTTAAACAATGCAAAACCGTCCCTAGAAATTTCTTAAGTTTTACAAGGTTCCATAGCAGGGATTTTATTTTCTGTAAAGCAACATTCTGATTCTCACTACTGGAGAATTTCATATAGTCTTAACCTCTTTTCAAACTCATAATATCCCCTGTTTGATCCTGTTGACTTCCGCTGCTTATGAGTTTATTTTAATACCTCAAGTGCAAGATCTCATCTTAATTTCTGGCACAGACCACATCCAAGATAAAGTTTCTTCAATATCCGGTGCTACAAAGACTGATACACGAGACAACTTCACCTCGTAAATCAACCTTGTCTTCCTGAATTATTTCCTTTTGAGGAGAGAATCAACTAACTGTTTTGCTGCATTTGAGTATTCTAGCCACTAAAAGATATTTTATTGTGCATTTCTATACTCTCAGCTACTTATGCGAGCTTAGTTCTTTCTGTTTATGTACTTCCTAATGCAGATTAATATTAAACTCTAGCAACTAAAAATAGCAGATTTCCAAATTGTGTAAGAGCCATTTGGATCTTATATCCTCTTAAATCTTTTCATTCAGCCAGAGTGGCTCACTATTCCAAACGAAATACACACACAAGCTGAAATCTGGCATTGTCCTCTTAAGTAGCATTGATGCCACTTTTAAAGATGTGGCTTCATTGGTTATTGTAACATTAGGATTTTTAAACTAGCTTTCTCACTCTCCTTTGGAAAACACCATGCTAAAATTTTCTTTTTGCTTAGCAAGTACTTTTCACACCAGAAAAGCAGACAGTTATTTCATAATCACCTTTGGTAGCTACCCCTTCAATGAACTGACAATTAAAAATAGATATGAATTGGGAAAAAACTCAATGAAGCATTCTGCTATAGAATTCTTCACGTTATGTATGTGAATACTTTTTGTATACAGACAACAGAAACAAACAAACAAAACCCCATACAATCCAAACAAAACCACTCAAACTTTCAGGCCTACAACCAATACTTCAGGTGTGAAATAAAAGCCATAATCTTTAAACTAATCAGATTTAAAACAATTGTTCAGGAGATCCGTTAATTGTCTTAGGTAGCTAGTTTATACAGCCAAATATACAGCCATAGTGTATATACCATTGCAACTCTCTTAAGGACAGTATTGATGACCTCTTCCCTCACCAATCTAAATGCCTCACTACAAATCACATCTTGCCTCCATCCTTAGATTACCATAGCGACTATATCACTGGCCACATCTACCTGCTACAGAAAATGATTTTAAATTATGTAGGAAAATTTGATGACAGAGAAGTTCAAATATTTTGGCATGCCATTATTTGATTTGCCTCTATCAAAACACTATAAAGAAACCATATATGTACACTCTTTAATCGTGGCAAGTGAAAGAACTGTCACCCTTAACAAACTCAGTTCTATAAAGGTAAAAATTCTCAAGTGCTGAAGCACTGCCAAACCCAGCCAAGAATTGTACGTTATGTGATTTCCTGAGACTGGACATGCTCCATATGCATGCTTCAGTTATCCCAAGCTCTTCAACTGATTGTTCAGACTGGCAGAATTCTAAGCATCCTCAAAAGTCTCCCATTTTACACAGCAGTGGAAGGCCATCATTTCTCAGAACTCTCAAGAACTGGGTCCATGTGGAAGGCACACATACTGACATTCCATAGTTGTAATCTAAGGTGGCTCTTGAGGACAGTCCTGTCCAGTGTAGGGACATTTGGAAGATAGTAATGTGTTTTCCCTAGGAAAGAACTTGTGATTGAAATCTTGTAACTGAAACAGAGTCAGTTTAAGAAAATTCACGTTTTTTGCTTACTGTTCCCTTTCCTGCTTCAAGTTTTCCTCCTTTTAAGTTTGCATAAAAAAAGAAATTAAAAAAAAGAAGCCAGAAGAAGGAAATATTTTTCTATTCATTGCTAACAAGAAGAGGTGCAACAAATGAAAACCATCAGAAACATCCTTATAGCAAATTCATTTTCCCTGAACTACCTAACATCATACCAAAGTGGGTCATATCTTATGGCTTACCTCACAATTGTAACTGGGAATTCATTTTGATCATAAACAGTACAGGATTTTAAACTGCAGATGGCAATAAAGATACTTCAAAATTTTCTTAGCTAATAATAGTAAACAGAGAACACAGTATTTGTTTGTTTAGTGAATAAAGATGTAATGATCTTACAAGTGAACTGTCTGTACATTCTTACATGCACCAGCCCCATTAAAACTTGAAAGGAAAAGCATCTCTTTAATACCAACTAAAGTTAAATGAAGGAAGTAGAAATTGAAAGGCTCTATTTCATTCATAATTTTAAATCTTTCAACTGAGGTTATTATCCATGAAAGAAATGATTAAAAAAAAATAGGGACGCTGCCTGGTTGTGTAGGGATTGGGACAGGAGGGCCAAGACTAAGTTGGAGCTGAACTTGGCAAGGGATGCAAAGAATAGTAAGAAGGTCTTCTACAGGTATGTCAGCCAGAAAAGCAATGATCAAGACTGGCAACAGTGAATGGGAGAAGGCTGAGGTACTAACAACTTTTTTGCCTATCTTCACTGGCAATCTCTCTTCCCACACCTCTGAACATACAGAAGTCTATGGGACCTGACAAGATGCATCCCAGACTCCTCGGGGAACTGGCTGATGTCATTCCTGAGCCACGCTCCATGATATTTGAAAAGTCATGGCAGTCAGGTGAAGACCTTGGTGGTTGGGAGAAGGGAAACATTGCACCTGTTGTTAAAAAGGGTAGAAAGGAGGACCCTGGGAACTACTGACTCATCAGCCTCACCATTGTGGCTGGGAAGATCATCAAACAGATCCTCCTAGAAGCTATGCATGTGGAGGACAGGGAGGTGATTTGAGACAGCCAGCATGGCTTCACCAAGGGGAAAGTCCTGCCTACCAACCTAGTGACCTTCTATCATGGAGTGACTAGATCAGTGGACAAGGGAAGAGTTATGGATGTTGTCTATCTGGACTTCTGTAAGGCCGTTGGCATGGTTCCCCACATCTTTCTCTCTAGATTGAAAAGATATGGATTTGATGGGTAGACAGTTTGGTGGATGAGGAATTGGTTGGATAGTTGCACCTAGACATCATGGTCAATGGATCAATGTTCAGCTGGAGACTAGTTACAAGGTGACCAGTAGCGTCCCTCTGGGGTCGGTACAGGGAACAGTGCTGTTTAATATCTTCATCAATGACATAGACAGTGGGATCGAGTGTACCCTCAGCAAGTTGGCAGACAATATGAAGCTTAGAGGTGTGGTTGACATGCCTGAGGGAC